AGGGAGAAGGAATAGCGAATCCATGGAAGTATTAAGATGCAAAGGGCATAAAATATATTTGAAAGTTAAATACGAGTCAAGTGGCGCCCCGGTAGGGTGTAACCAGACGCGAAGTAGTCGGGGCACCTTCTACCCCTCTTGTATTCGTTGTGTTTCGATGGTTTTGGCAACTTCTCTTTGCCTTCGGTACAGCCGCTCGTTTTACATTTTAAAAACCACCTTCCTTTGTTTTATCGTAATCCTATTTAACACTCCGCGCGTAGACTGTTGTTCATTAATATCAGGACACCCAGGAAAGTAATGTACGATTTGAATGAAATTCGTTCGCCAGATATAGTACCACATGTCAGCGAAAATTCACGTACTCGTTATGTTACGAGATTGTAGGCTGAATAATTGAAGGGTTCTAAATTACAACGTTAGCAAATTAAAACTTTCGAGAGAAGCGAAAATTTCAGAGATCTGCTGTACCTAAGTAACGCGGAATTATTTTGTAGAAAAATGGTATGGATTTATTTGGACGAAATATTATTTGGACGAATGAAACGTCAAAATATTGCTACTTACAAGGTTGTAGTGTCGATATATCGGTTTTTGGAAATTTCCGAGTTGCAATATTGTAAAATGGAACCCTTCAATTTTTTTCAATTTTAATAATTTTATCGTGTCTGTTTAGCTTTACCTCACATTCGCTAAGTATCCTAATATTTGCGTTTAAATTACTGTTACACTACTTTACCAGATCTCCAACCAAATTTCCCAGAAATCCAAACCTCCAACCATCCAAAACACACCGTCACTTACCACAAACCCATTACCATCCCGACTTCACAATTTCTCCTCTCCAAAACCCACGTTCTCCAGTGTTTTCTGTTCTCCATCAGGCATCAAGAACCACAGGCGCTGTTTCCTTTTCGTACAGGGTATACAATGGCCGCGCGATTCCCGAGGATTCCCCAGCAAGCGTGAGCGGCGAAGAGAGACAGAGAGAGAAAGAGAGATGGGGGAGGCATGGGTCGCTATTGTTCCGGTGTAGCCTTAATGCGCGTCGTTGTAAACAGCGTTACAATGGAATAACTTCGTTAGCATAATCGCGTCACAGAGTCGCCTGGCGCCCTCTGCCTCTCCCGCTCCACTGCACCCCTTTTGGATTTTACGGGTGGTTTCCCTCTGGACAGGCTCGTGGGCGGACCCGATCCGATCCGCTGCCACGTTTAACCGTCGCTCGCTCCAGTATTATTCATTGTCGCGATTGAATCGTTTATCTCGTCGCTGCTCGGCTGACCGCGCGACGGGATCGCTCCCGACGACATCGTGTACACGGCCATCGACAAGCATCTCCCGATGTGCGACGATCCGGCCGCTAAATGGGGCTAAACGACCCGTCGGTATACGAATAACGGCCACCGGAGGCGATTCGCCAATATTCGAGTCGAGTAGCTTACTTTCAATTCAGCATTGTGCTACGGTAGAAACTTTGATTATCTGAATCAATCGTGACCATACGGTGTTTCTCGCGTGAAAGATGATCGTTTGTTTTAGAATGTTTTGTAAATGTTAACGTTGATCTTTGCGCTGCGTGATTCGTTCCTCTGGGCATTTGAAAAGGGACAATTTTTGGTGCAAAAGAAAGTTGTTTAATCTTCAACTTTTTTCATAATACATATATAGTTATGAAAATAGGGAGGAAACAATGTTAGAATCACCTGATGGTGGTATTTTTAATATTCTCAACGGCCACTTATCACAATTCCTATATAAACTCTAGCATAAAAATGTGCAGATTAAGAGATTAAACGAATCCATAAATGTCTACCTCATTTTCGTAATTATCAAAAACTATCCATCGATACATCGATGTAAATCACTAAATTATAATCGTAGATTTCTAATCATCCTCACACCGATCGCTCAAGTGATTATCTACTTAAGAATTAAGAACCTCCAAACTTTTCAGTGTTAACTTAAAATTCATATAATTCTTGACAAATTACCGTTGACGAATGTTTCCTCGAATTTCAGAAGCGACTTTCATTTCTCCCGGTGAAAATCCCACGTTTCACGTTACACGAGCTAACGGCTGAATAGAAAAACCGAATAAAAGCGCGAATCGCGATAATTCGGGGCGAATCAACGTTTCACCCCGGCAATTACGGGAAAATCTCCGTCAGGCCGTTGCGATACCGAATTAATTCTACGCGCGATCCCGCCGACGTACATGACATTTTTCGCCCTCTCGTCTTCGACCGCGTTCACAATGGAAATGTTAAGCGAGTCGTGGATTCGCAACGCTCGTCACTCGACAAAGCGGTTCTCCCGTGTCCGCGGACGTCAATTTAAGCGCGAAAGCGAGGGCGAGGAGAGAGAATAGTCGCTTGACGCGTTGACGATCCGTCGCGATCTCTGATGGACGAGCGATCATCGAGAAACGTTCCCGAGGGACCGTCTATCGACGATGCAAATCATTAAACGATAACCGTACCGTCAATTCCCGCCGGAACGTTTTAATACAATTGCAGTTTAATTCGATTCGGAGTTTGTTAAGTCCTTCCTCAGATCTCTCGTATATTTTCGTGCAGCATATTGCAGAAATATTGCGGTAGGGGCTCGATATTATCATAATTCTGACTTTACATCGTGTTATACTTATTATGTTTATTTTTAACCCTTTCGCTAAGAAGAGCGTACACATACGCCTATATGATACACACAGTTTATTAATGTATTTTTTAAAATACCGCTGTCGACTGAAATTTTGGAAACACTAGAATGTGTGATTTTCAATCATGCTTATCCTTATTTTTATGCAAGCACTGAATATTAACTCTTTCGTACAGTTTTTGTCTCAAAAGTGAAACTATCCCATACACCGAAGAAAATTACGTAGAAATAATGGTTTTGAAGCAGTTTCGTCGAATTTCTTAATTTACGGAATAGAGATACAGGGAATATCATGTGGAATATGAAACGTGTGAGATATGAAGCGCCAAAGTGTTACGCATAAAGAGACACTTGAAACTTCGAAGTTCGGAGTTGAATATGAAATCCAAGTTGAGGAAACTTTCGCGTTATTTTCGATCTCTCTTCGTACTTTCACAACAAATCTTCCTTTAGTTCTTCTCTATTTGAAATAAACCTGAAGTTTCTTCCCTTTATCCAAACGGTACCAAAATTTCATTTTTCTCTATTCGAAAATTTTAATCAAACCCATACACGCGAGATCGCTTTCTAAATATTCTCCAACGACGACTACGTTTCACGGATAAGAAGAACTCACACGAATCCGAGGTTATTGCGCCATTAGGGATATCCCCCTTTTGGCTTGCTCGCTGTCGCACTGATTTCTGACTTCTCCCAGTGCGACGAAAAATAATCTCTTTTCTTCTCGTCTCCCCCCTTCTAGGCTAGAACGCCCGCTGCGGACGTCAAAATATGACAGCTCTCTCGGGTCACCACTTTCCGCGACAAGAGTTGCGTTCAAGGGGGTTGCGAGGAACGATCATTAGAATAAAGCGGCGCTCGCGACCGCCACGCTCTTAACTATGTTTCCCGTTCGTGTATCCCTTTTGAATAAATCCCAACGTTCCTTTCCAACCAGCTTACATTTCTCCCATTCGTCGTTTTATTTCCACACGTCGGACACACTCTCTGCCTATGGAAAATACGAAACGAACCGTTCGTACAAATTTTCTTTCACACTTTTTCCAATAAATAATAAATTAAATTATCGCGAAACGTAATTTTCAACGGTGAAAAATTCAACGCCGACGAACGAACGGAATATTATATTTATTGCTGTTTAGGAATAATCGTAGTAATTGTTCGGTATATCGGCGATAAAATTTTGTCAAAAGTCTGATTGATGAATTAACTCGACTAAATTACGCGGTAACACGATTCCCACATTTGCGGCTTAAATGGGCGTCGCATTGAGAGCCACTGCGGTACGCGGTTAAGCTGACGGAAACGGTAAATGGTTCGCATCCAACCCCCTCGGCGAGACGCTAATTCATATTCATAGGTGTAGCGTTTAGTATTGTGCCGCTGGATTCTCCGGAGAGTTCGCCCGGAGAAGAACGAAGAGAAGGAGAAACATCAAGTTACGTTAACTTGTCGCATCGTCGACGCTCACGAATTCACTCCTCTCGTGCAATTTCGCCGGGGTTTTACCTAACCTTTGTAGAATTACAAATACGCTTTGTCTGTGAAATAATTAGTTGATTCGTCTAGTTTAATGAAATAAGATGAATTGTCCTGTACTGTGAATTAGAACTATTGTAATTTTATTTACAGCATAATTGGGCGAATGTATAATAAACATGAACATTGTGATACTTTTTATTATTATAGATACAATATGGTGAAGTGTGTACTTTTTACGAGAATTTGTCGTTTTCTGTGAAATTCCAGAAGTGATCTCGACGTAGGAGATTGTACTGCCATCTGTTGGTAGAGTACGAAGTTAGACTACGTTTCGTTCAAGTGTCAATGAAACAACGGTCATTGATGTGAGGTTGTGGTAGTATAGTACGTTACTAAAGTAGTAAAATAGTACTACAAAAATTACTAATCATTCATATTTTCTAATTCTACGCTTTTTATGTCTTGGAAGTTGTAGAAGTCACGCGGATCTGTTTATGTAACAAGGTACGGAGTAAATGTAGGTTTTTATTTAATTTTAAAGCAGGTTATGAAATGTTTAGTTTATAAAATAATAATTACACATATTTTTTGCAATTTTATATTAAGTTAAGTAAAATAAAAGGGACATTAAGGGGACTGCTACGTATGAAATATAGTGTTAAAAATTTATTAAATAATAATACTTTTATAGTGCATAATATACAAAATAAAAAAAAGGAAAACAACTTGTGCACTTTTAATTGCACCTTAGTTTTTATAATTCATATTTAACAGAATATTTTACAGGAATAAATATAAATATTTGTAATACTCTTAAATCATTGTATTGCCAATAAAGCACTAAGCAATTTAGTTAATTATAACCCCCCTTCACTTATTGAAGGCTTTATGTTAGCTTTATGAATAAGATGGTAATTTGGTAAAACTTTTAGCAAGAATTCTAACTGACTTATTGGAGCCTGAAATGAAATGTAAAATTATACAACACCATTTTGATATCATCCATAATTCTACCTGCAATTCAAGAGACTTACATATGGTTTATCATACATTTCTCTACGCTGATACTGACTACCGTAGACTATGGTATTTTCAGGTATTGTGTCTGGTTGTGTCAATGAACACGATGCTCCAATGACACAACCATTGGTCAATTCAATTTCACGGCCTACGAATGCTACAAAGGAAAACACAGTTACAATAAATGCATAGATATATACCTGCTCCTTACTAAATACGATCACCTTTGCTTTCTAAAATATTATTATCCCCAACTTTAAATGCTTCACAAGTGCAATCAGTTTCGAACACATTATAACTACCCACTATCTGTACTGGAATTGTTGTTGGCTCTGGAGCACCTGGAGGTAGTCTACAACAGTGTGAACACTAATTTTATTTCAAACTAATAAAAAAAACGAAGATGCCCTTTATCTGGAAACTACCTGTTTGCTATAACTGCCATTTCTTCAATGATATTTCCTTCACCTATTATAATTGGTCCAGCCTCTGCAATGATACTTGCTCTCGGATGAACCACAGTTTTGGGTCCAATAGTGATATCTCCCTTCAGAATACTTTCCTGACATACTAAAGCACCTGCCACTATTTTCAAGCTGAATAAAAAGATAAAACTTATGTTCTTTTCTCACAATACAGTAAAACTATATGTACTAGACGTAACCTCAAAAAAATGAAAACTTCAGCAAGGTTAACGCTCTGACACTAATAACTGTATTTACATTTGTCTGAACTTTCTATAACATCGAATTAACGAGAAACCATAAAAATATAAATAATTCGAACAAAATATATGTATTTCCTCACTTCGTACGACGACTTGCTGATGAACTCATTGTTAACAACTGACACAAGGCGCTTCAACACGCCCTCTGTAGTATACTCGAAGAATTACTTGCCTTGGATTCCTTCGCGTAATTTAAACTCACGATAAATTCACATTAACAATGAAACGTTTATTTAACAAGTATTTAATTCGCTTTAAAATAAAAATCGCTAAAAATTTATGTTCACTGCTGTTAAAGTAATCTCTTCTTATCAACTATGTAAAAAAATTTACATATATGCTCATTTTAAGTCCAACTAAAAACGTTAAAAATTCACAGATAGAATTGCTAGGTGTATTTAACGATAGATAAGAATCATGACATACCTTCGATTGTTTCTACGTTTAACTTCCTACGTAGGTGACAGTAATAACAAAAATGTCGACGAACCATTCGAAACTAATGCATATGTAAATCTACGAATAAACCGAAAAGTAACAAAACGTGAAACAACACCGAGGTATAAAAACCAATTCCACTACATTTACACTGAACTCTTTTTCTTTAAATTCACGACGTAATAAAGTGGAGAAAAAAAAAGCGTATAAAACAACGAACCGAAGAAGAAGGCAGAATCCACACGAGAATAGCGTAATCGTGGACAGGATTCCCTTGAAAGGAACCGCAGGAGTAGGTGCTAAAAGGATAAAGAGAAGCGTTCGAGGATCAAGGTGAAAAAGGTGACTCGAATAGCGCGTGAACTGCGCGCCACCCTAAAGAAGAACATAATAACTTAAAATTTAACTCCAAATTGCGATAATAACGTCTAATTGCAACGTGCGTGCGCGTGTACGTGTTGCGCCTTTGTGTGTGTGTGTTTTGCATTTATTTTTTTTTCTTTAATTCTCCCGTTCTCTCTCTCTCGCTCGCTCGTTCTCTCTCTCTCTCTCTCTCTCTCTCGCTCGCTTTCTCACTTTCTCTCCTCCATTCGTGTCGTTTTTTCATATTTTTTTTCTTTTGTTTCTTAAACTTGTAACTCGGTTATCTCCGACGTCTAGGTAATGTAACTGTTTCGTTTGTCCGTGTCTCTCCCTCCCTCTCTCTTACCGTCTTTCTCACCCTCTCTCTCTCTCTCTCCCTCTCCCCTTCTGTGTGTATGCGCCTGTCTGTACATGTACGTATGTACTCGTGTGTGTGTAGCATGTCAGTGTGGTATCTGTATTGTACGCTGTGTACACATGGGTGGATGGGTGGGTGGTTTGGTTTGTGGGTGAACGATTACAGGTGGTAATGTATCTTGCACTCGCGCGTACGTGACTGTGTACGTGTTTTTTTTTTTTCTTTATCTACAGTTAAACGAATTCTACGTACTTACTCGTTAATCGGCAGAATAATATGCATTTCTTAATTTCGCTATAAGTATATTTAAACCGTCCGAAAACGTGTCAGTCGGCGCACCGTGACGGATTCGCCATCGCTCTCGTCGAGCCTTTCTTCCTTTCCAATTTGTCCTATTTCTTTCTTTCACACTTCTCTTATTTGTCAATTTTTTTTTTCCTTCTTCGCTTTTCTGCTCAACGCCATGCCATTTGCACACAATCCTCTCTCTCTCTCTCTCTGTTTCATATTTTCTCACCCTTATTTGTCACCCCTTTCGTTCACGATTCGCTACATCTCCTCGAGTATTCGACACTTCTTCAGTGAGAAGAAACGATTCTCTCTTTCTTTCTTTCATTCTTTCCCTTCGATAATTCTCTACACGTTTCCCTTTCTATCGTTATTTCGACACTTCTTCTGTACTTGCACTCGACACGTCGCTCGACCTCTTCGAAGGATTCGAAGTGATGATTAAAAAACCGAATAATCCCTGAAGCAGCGCGTCCTGAGGGCAATAGAATTTGATGGTAACGCGGCTGAACGATAAAAACGTTAATGTAACATGATGATTTCTCTCTCTCTCTCTCCCTCTTTCTCTCTTGTTTCTCGCGAATACAAAAAGTGCGTTCGATTTGTTTCTCGTTCGTGGATGAACGATATGGATTCGGACTATTCGAGCCGCCACTTGAGGGATTAAGCGTGACGCTAAATTACAATAAAGAGAAGAGGATCTATTTTTTTTCCTTTTTCTTCTGTTACGAGGCGCGGACGATACTTTACGGTGAAGAAAACTTATCTATAAACTCTGTTACGTCTATCAACTACGGTCACGCTACGCGGTCTGCTAAGCTGCGCTAAAAATGTGGGACACTTTGTAACTGTAAAGTATCGACGACGCTCCCGGTGCGCTACGAAACTCGAAACTTAGCGGCTTAAAAGACACGGCTAATTCGACCGTTCTCGAGTGGCTGACGTTCGAGATACGCGGAGAATGAACGATATAGTTGAATAAACGGCCCCCCGGTCGCCGTCATTTTGCCTCTTTTTCTCCCCATCGTTGGTGATAACGATAATTGTATAAAATTTAGAATTAGTTCATCGTTCAGGTAACACCGTCGATTAAATTCCGTCCACCGAGACTACCAGAGAAAATTCATTTAATTCCGTTCCCGCCCAATTCGATTGATAATTTTTCCCGCTAACGAAATTCTCGCTCGACATTTCGAACCGTCTAACAATTTCATTCTACTAAACTCGTTGTAAATTCATTTAACACGTGTCCACGAAGACCAATTGGTACATATCGTTTGAATAAAATTTTATTCAACTATACAACATCCTCTGCCCCAGTCGACAGACAAGTTCGTAACAATCCTGACCGAACGATCAATTGCACCATCCCGATCGTGTTCGCAAACGAGCGTCGTTTGAAACGCGACCAAATTTAGATCGTGTGTCGTGTGATCGATCGATCGAACGTTTATGGTGGTTGTTTCACGATCGGTTACGTAGAAAGTGGTAAAATGCGCGCGGAACTTATCTCTTATCCTCCTTTCGTCGAATAATCGTCACGTCGTCGCCCGATCATTTCTCGCGTTACCTTAAAAGCGCCTAACGATAATCGCCAACAATATTACTTCGTCGACGATCCAGCCGTTCCGTGTTTCGCGACAAGGAACGACCGGGCCCTACTGTTTTAATAATAACTAACTAACGAGCTAACGAGTGTGTGTCTATCAACCGGAATCGTTGATCGCGCGTACAAAAAACGGACTTAACAGCGAAGTGAAACGTGCGGCCGCAACAAACGACGTCTCTTGAAAAAGGGGGAAAAAACCTATTGGTCGTTGATCGTCATCACATTGATACTGAATCCACGAAGTGTCTCTCTTCACGATCCATTTGCTGCTCGTGGATCGAGCACCGGGCCAACGCGATTTCCGTGCACCGATTTTCGTTTCGCTGAATCACACGCAGACGCAAAAACGTGTCGAGAATTCATTGGGAATTGTTTTTTTTTTTCGTTTTTCAATTTCTTCTCTCTTTTCTTTTTTTTTTTTTGGTTACTGGAACGAAAGGGTTGGTGACATATCTTTTTGGAAATTTAGAAAAATTGTATCTTCGGTGTACAGCACGATAGCGAGACGATTTTTGTAACGTAGATTTAATTCTCTGTACCGTTGCACCGTGTTACTAACAAGATTCCGTGATTCCTGTTTCTGGAAGCATTTTCTTTTTCTTCGTTAAGCTTACGTGATTACTGTATTAAAGACGGGAGAGATACATTGTCGACACTCGATACTACGTGTCTATGGTAGTCTTTATCTTGCTAAAAATGTCTGAGATGGGAAATAGAGGGGTATACACGGGACAAGAGTGCAAAGAATCAAATTTTAAAGGTCTCGAGAACCAAATCTCGATACTGCATCGTACTCGACGACGATTAGTTTTCTCGATTGTTTTCGACGAAGAGATAATTCCAATTTCGAAGTAAGTACCACGCTAGTCGGCTTTATTCAAGAATAATCGTTTCTCAAAGGAAAATCTTCATTTCGTAAATTAACAAACGGACGTACGAAAAGATCGAAGAACGAAACAAGCAGCACCCGATCCAATAGGATCGACACGGAAATCGTATTGGCGTACGCTCGATCTCGTGGCACGATTAAATTGATCCAGCCAGCATCGTCTCTGGCCGACGAAAGCGAGGAAAGCCGGTAACGGTGCGTAAAAAACGCTTCGAGAGGCTTCACCGCGGCGATGGATTATTATTTAGTTAAGAAGTACGTGTTTACGTATAAAGAGACGCGTCATACAGTGCCGTACAGTACCAAAACGTTTATAATGCGCACATAATGTTACCTCGATTAACCTCTATCTACGCGCTCGCGCAGGCATCGTGTATGTATAAAGTGTTCCATTTTAGTCGTATTCTTTTAGTCTCGCTGCAGGTGTGTGTGTGTATTTCTCGTGTATATGTATCCGTGTGCCTGTGTTCCTCGTCATTTTTTATATCCACGTGTTGCGTCCGTGAGCCGGCGCAGGCCGGTCCAGGGACAAAAGTCTCGTATTTTTTTTTTTCATTTATTTTATTTATTTATTTATATAT